ACAGGACTTCCTTGACGCAGAAGGCTTGGTGACAAAGCTTAAGAAGGTCTGATGGGAGGAGGTAAATACTGGCGTAGCGCAGCAGCAGCAGCAAAACAACCGGACGTGTGATGCTCGAGAGACCGAAATTATGAAGTAATTAAGTAACCGAACCGGTGAAACATGAATGTGAAGACGTTGATAGAGCAGTCAACCCATAACATTCTACCACTCGCGAAAGCATGAAGTCGAAACAATTGTTGAGCAAACTTCTCATCCCTCCGCTTCACTCAATGCTCACAAGCATGATGGAACTTCTCGCTCCTCGTTAAATCCTATCAGTGCAAGAACTTACAAAGTAACTGAACTGGGAGCAGAGGACGCGGTCATCTCGTAATACAAAATCTCTTCAAATCACGACAGCCCCTTTCGACAGTTAAGACGATGGAAAAATTGTTGCAGGGGTTCTTAATTAATAGCACATTATACTTTGCCTATTTTATAACGCAAATTAGGCTCCAATGATACCCCCAAACAATCCACCTACACGAAGGAACAGTCTGTTTGTTAAAATGCATGCAAAGATTTACAGGTAGAGATACATCCGCACCCTCAACTCATGCAAAGGATCCAGAAAAGAGGCGAATTTGAATTCGTTTGAGCTTCTTCAACACGGACCTAAAGGAGAGAGACAAATAAGCGAAAGAGAAAGATACATAATGAGAGGAATGATTAGCACGGAAAATAGACCTCATCTCCATTTCCTCTCTGGTGTCGACGCCAGTGACAACGTCCTGCGGCGCCAACCGTTCAATTAGTTGACCTACAAATCGCCTTAGTTGGGCTAATTGGGTGTCCTCCGGATCGGTGAGCCATTCCGGAGGTAGATGGAGGGCGATTGCTTTTAATCGCTCTGCCACTGACTCCCACACTGCCGATTCACCCAACACTCCACCTCCGCCTGTGTCTGGCAAGTTGGTGGTGTTGGACATGAGGCTGGCTAGCCCAATAAGGATGTAGCGGTTTACAAGACAAGTGAAAGTGATGTACTTCAATGCAGCTGGTGCCAACAGATCATGCCACTCGAGGAGGTTGGAGAGAAGCTAAAACGGAGAAGAGGTGGACATTCGACTAACTACTTGGGTAACAGCAATCAGGGAAAAGGAAGAAACAAAGACATACCTTCATAGCAGCATTCATTTGACGATCAAAAAAAAGGCGGCTGGGACACTGGAGATCAGACATAATTCTAAAAACGAACAAGTGTAGTCTCCATTTCGAAGAGGACGAGGGGTAAGTGGCGAGCGAGTGACCATCACACGCAATAAACCGTCTAACAATTATTAGCTGATGGCGAACCCTTTATGTGCGTAAAAAAATGTGACGCGAGCTGGCCAATTTTGGGACACAATTCTCACGCAGTGAAATTAGCTCATAACAATGCATCCGTATAAGCGCTCCCATTTTCTTATCCTATTTACAAATTGTTTGAGTCAACTTCACGACTACGTGAGCCTCTTCAACCCCTCAAGGTTCTACTTTCGCAGTGTTGGTTCACAACTTTTCACATGGCACTTGTTGCAGTCCAATTATTTCGCAGCGTTTTTCATGAGTTCTCCATATTGCAACAGCCTCAAGGATAACAAAGTAGGACGAGATTGATACCCTGTCCTGCAGAACTTGAATAGGAGCAAAACCACTTAAGGATTAATGGTTTTGACGCCTTATAGTTGTAGTCCATTTAGTAGAAGTGAACGAACCGTTTGGAGTAAAGAGGAATAAAAACGTCCATCTGAATGGTGTGTTCCATGCGCTGGAGGACAACTTCAAAAAGGCGTTGAGTGGGCTTGCTCTCCGCCGAGAAGGTGGGCCAAAGGGTGGCAAAGGAGCGTATGAGACCCGTTAAACGTTGAGTCTGACTCCACGACATCGGATCCCACGAGGCCGAGACAATTTCTGCGTTTTAAAGGAGGAACAGTGGAAAGGACCATAATGTGAGAAAAAAACAAATCCATCTTACAAGGGCAGTGGGGAGAGGGACTCTGACAATACAAACCAATAAACGTAATGCTTACTTATTGCAATCAGGGGATCCTCTCATAGGCATCGCTTCAGCCTTCTATTTCATTGGTTTTATCCTAAAGCGCTTTACACATCCAACTCCAAATCTTCCGATCTACCTCAAATGACACGATTTAAAAGGAACCTCAGCCTCAAAGGAGGAGCATTTCGGCTTTCTACTGACAGTCAACAATAAACGCGATTGAATTGACGGACTCAAAACAGCAGGGCACTAAAACCGTACGGGAATTTTGAAACTACTCCAACTTCAAGTTCTACAGAAGAGCCAGGAATGAAGTTGAATTAAGTTTGAAATAATTTAAATTTTTATCATTCTACAACCAAAACCCTGCCTTTGCACAGCTCACGATCCATATCTCATTAAAAGGAATGCGACACCTTCCTGAAAGACAAACAAAATTTCACCCTAACTGCCTGTTTCAAAAAGGGTCTTCCGGATGGTGGTGCAATTTGATCCGGAGTGGTGACAACTTGCGTAAGATAG